ATTCTTACCAACCACTGCAAGTCACCTGAGATTTTTCTCAGTCTAACTTCATGTCTCTTCTGGGCCTCCTCTATCTACCTGCTTCCTTTCAAGTTTGTATGACTATAATTCAACAAATGGCTTAATTCCACCAAAGAAAGTTTAGAATTACAAATGGCATCTTGGGGAACTTTTAACATGAAGAAGATTGTTTATTTGAAGAGACACCTTAAACAAACAGGAAAAAAACAGATTTCTGAATATTCAAGGATAGAGACAGGGTCTCATTATGTTGCTCAGGTTAGCCTCAAACTCCTAGGCTCGAGCAATCCTACTGTCTCAGCCTCCCAAGGAGCTGGGACTACAAGTACCATGCCTAGCTTAGCCTGTATTTAATTAACGTGAGGAGGCTTCCAAATGCAATGCAAATTCTAAAACTGCCTCAGTAAAAGACTTCCCAAATCCAAGAATAAAAAGGAAAAAGTTTACTGAAAACTCAGATTTGTACAGACCTCCTTGACCTCTCACCAACCAGTCCATATTTTGGTGTGCCTAACAGATGCAAAACCTGGAAAAGGCAAAATCACCAAAACATTCTGTTAACTGTCTATGCTTTTTTTTTTTTAATTAAAAAAATTGTTTTTTTGAGACAGAGTCTTGTGTCACCCCGGCTAGAGTGTAGTGGCATCATCATAGCTCACTGCAATGTCAAACTCTGGGGCAGGAAGGGGGCTCAAGCGAAGTAAGCTGGGACTACAGGCATGTGCCACCACACCCGGCTGATTTTTCTATTTTTAGTAGAGACGGGGTCTTGCTCTTGCTCAAGCTGGTCTCAAACTCCTGACCTCCTTCCTTGGCCTCCCAGAGTGCTAGGATTACAGGCCTGAGCCACCAGACCTGGCCTCTCTGTGCTTTTTGACATACTCGTATCATTTTTTCTTAAGTTCTTTACTTTTGGGAAAAAGGTAACATTCCTAATAATCACTGTCACTTATTGCTGTGTTTTTAAAGATATTGCGCCTGTAACTACATGACAATTCTCTTTGT